TCTGCCAAGGTCCTCCAAGGACCTTGTGGGTGGCCTTGCTCCAGCAGGACAAATCTAGGTCAGCTTGGAGCATTTGACCCTTACTTAACCCGCACGAAGAACTGTGTGACCTCTTCTGAACTTCAGAATCTATGCTACCAGCAGAGCCTGATTCTCAGATTTTGCTAATAAAATATAAGTCCTAGCACCATCCCCTTCTTGGATTAGGAAACATTTATTTCCAGGCTTCTTTCGGTAGAACCGTGGGCCATTCATTCTGTGAAACTCTGCCCTTTGAATGGAACTGTATATTCTTTTGTAGAGCAACCTGGGCTGAAACTTAAACCTTCATTTTTTTTTGCCCTAAGGGGAAAGATACACATCTTACACATCCTTTAGGAAGAATGATACAACACTGCTACCCTTACCCTTTGTAACTTCAGGTTATTCCTGGAACAGCTGGCTTAGTGTAACAGTAATTCACAGTCCTCAACTGGACTGTTGCAGAGAATTCTTCATCACTGAGTTCAGCATGCGCCAGCTGTGTTATTGAAGTGGTAGTTGAATTTGGTGATCCTTCCGTGGTCCAGACAGCATGGCACTGCCTGTAAGGACCACGCGATGTGGTTAAGGGGAATATATTTCCAACAACAACGAATCTTCAGACTAAGCTCAACAGCACACAGCCAAAAAGATGTACTGTTTGATGATTTGACTTAGGATATTGAGCATGTTGGAGTGAAACGCACTCGGAAGTGTGACAGTGTGTACCTGCCTACAAGGAAACACAGAAATCTCCACCAAATGCTGTATTGATAGTCTGATCAAGCACAGATAAGAGTGTGACGTTTTATTTCCTTGCATCGTTAAAGATGGCCTTGCCACATTGTTGAATTGAATCCTTGGCTGGCAAAGGAAAAGAAAAGTCCCCAAATAATTTTCAATGAAGTGTGCCTTATCTCTAAACCGCAATTAAGTGCTTTCAAGATTTCACATTCACAGAATGATCTCAGCACTCTCACAGCTTTGCAATGCTGTTTCTAAAAGAGAACATGTACCGTTTGGGAAAATGAAAACAGTTGGAATTGTTTTGGTTGCTGAAAATACACTTGGCCGCAGCGCTGTGGCACTGTGGAAAGGAAAGTGCCTTGGCTCTGAGCTCAGGCAGACCCGGGGTTTGAATCCCAGCTCCTTCATTCACTGTGTCCTTAATAGGTCATCAGAGTTTTTGAGTCTCTTCGCCTTTTCCTGTAAAAAAGAGGTCAATAATAATGTCTGCCTCTGAGCAAGACATGCATAGAAGAAGGGGCATTGCTCGGCCCTACTGGATTCTTGTTGTATTAATATCTGTCATCTGCAGGCCTAGTATGTGCCTGGCATAGTCAAGTGCTTATGAATGTATATTAATTCACAATACTATGTGGTTGATTCTTTAAAAAATATTTGTATTGATTTCAGAGAAGAAGGGACAGGCAGAGAGAAATAGAAACATCAATGATGAGAGAGAATCATTGATCAGCTGCCTCCCGCACACCCACGCCTGGGGATGGAGCCCCCAACCCAGGCAGGTGCCCTGAACAGGAATCGAACTGTGACCTCCTGGTTCATAGGTCAACAACACTCAACCACTGAGCAATGCTGGCCAGGCTGTGGTTGATTCTTAAAGTGACCAACTTGCCCTGGTTGCCTGGAACTATCCTGATTTTACAACTGAAATTCCTGAGTCCTAGGGACACTCTCAGGCCAGGACAAACTAGGGAAGGCATTTGGTCACTCTTTCAATATTATGGTCTCACTTTACAGGTGTGGAACCAAGGCTCAGAGGTTGTGTGCAAATTTCCCAGTATCTCACAGTTGGGAAAGAATAGGCCCAGTACTCAAACCCAGGCTTGAAAAGCTCTTTCTGAAGCTCTAACCTCTGCTCAGTAAATATTGTTATTCTTGCTGTATTACTAGGACATTCTGAACTTAGCAAGTATTGGTAGATCAGATCACATTTTTCAACCATCTTTAATTACAATTTCAGGAGTGTGTGTGTGTGTGTGTGTGTGTTAAAGAGTGGGGATTGCTCTACAAGTGATAGTGATAATGAAAATCATAAGGATAATGCTAATGAAAATGACAATTTCAAAGCTTAACATTTATTTCAAAGAATGTTTTGTGTTTTGTCAATGCACAATCCATTCATTCTTCCCTTTATTTATGTATTCATCCATTCAACAGGTATACAGCGGGGTCCTACTGTGTGTCAGGTACTGCGACAGATACAAAGAAGGTCAGAATGCTGGTCTCAAGTTACTTAGTGCACTTGGATTTAAAGCAGCCGTGGGCAAACTATGGCCCGCGGGCCGGATCCGGCCCGGCCCGTTTGAAATGAATAAAACTAAAAAAAAAAAGACCATACCCTTTTATGTAATGATGTTTACTTTGAATTTATATTAGTTCACACAAACACTCCATCCATGCTTTTGTTCCGGCCCTCCGGTCCAGTTTAAGAACCCATTGTGGCCCTCGAGTCAAAAAGTTTGCCCACCCCTGATTTAAAGCATCAATTGTAGTTCTGGCCAGTCAGAGGTTGCAGGTTCAATCACCAGTGGGGGGGGCGTGCAGGAGGCAGCAGATGGATGTTTCACTCTCACCTTTATGTTTCTCTCTCTTTCTCCTTCTCCCATCCTCTCTGTCTAAAAAATCAATTAAAAATCCTAAAAAAAAAAGGAATCAATTCTAAAATAGTGTGAGAAGTACAATATAAAAGCAAGACCTATGTGTTTGAGCCCTTTCTCACCATCCCTCATATAAGGCTCCAGCACACAGATCTTTAATGATGCTACAAACATATAGTTGACACTTTTTTCCATTAACTGTTACCTCTTCCTGAAAGATTCTTTCTCCTTATGGTGGTCTTTCAGGTCCAATATGAAATATTGCCTCTTCAGAAAGAACCTCCTTGACCACCTTGAGCTAAATTAGTTACCCAGACATTCTCTATTAGATCGCCCCTGTTTTAATGATCTTTCTAGAGTTTATTTATCGTTATTTGATATTTATCTTGATTTTTTTGTTTACTGCTTTTTGCCTGTCTTTGCCAACAGTGTAAATTCCAGGGAGAAATGGTGACATTGATTTTATTGTGGTTTGTTTTTTTTATGGCTATATTCTCAGGACCTAAAACAACGCTAGGCACACAAGAGCTGTCAGTAAGCATGTTTTGAATGAACAAAATGAATGAATTAATAAATGTTTTGGATGCTGGAAGGAGCAGTCCATTCAGCATGAGTAGAAGTGTGAGGAGAACTGTGCTTAAATGGATATGTGAAGTCAGCCTTACTTCTCCCCTGATTATAAAGGTAGTATATTCTTAGTTTCAAAGTTAGTAAAAAAAAAAAAAATCACACAAAAAAGAAATAAGGTCAACTTGACATAATCACAAATAATATTTCATTGCATTTGTGCTTATAGATACTTTTGAACAAAACCAAAGCACTCTTTTCATAATTCTTACCTTTTTGAGGGTAAATATTTTCTGACATTTTTATTTTAAAGGTTGCTTTGTTCTTCATCATAATAGATGTACTAGAATTTATGTAACCAATATATATTGCTGTACCTGGGAAAGTTTCCATTTTGCCATTATGGACAATATTGAACAGCCTTGCAGATAGATAATATTTGTCTGGATCCATGTGGTAGCTTAATTAAGCCAAAGTAAATTGATCTGGGTCCTAGATCCACCAGTTTCTTTTAACCATTTATTTTTAAACTTTACAAAGTTTGCTCAACTGTAATGTGAGGAGGAGAACCTACTTCATAAGACTGTTGTGCAAAATAAACAATATAATGAAGGTCAAGTTCTCAGCACAAAGGATGCCATATGTGTTAGCTCCCCTTGATAACTTCCTGTGAATTCCAATTGGCTTTCCAAACTATCTTAAAGGACAAAGAAACAAGCTAAAGAGATGTGTGGGAAGGAAGCTGAGATAGGGGAAGTGAAGTTGGGAAGAGGAAAACTTTTTTAAAATTATGGAAGAATAAGTATACACCCACAGCATCAGCTATAAACTGTAAAACATAAAGCTTATACCACCTCTGACTCTCACACAACCCTGTTCGCCTTGCTGGTCTGCATCACCCCTGGAGATATGCTTTTTCGGCCACACAGCAAGAGGAGGCTGATCAAGATAATGCTGGTGATCTAAGCTTCATAATTGGGAGCATTTAACTGAATGAAAGAAGCCAGAAAGGTGAGTTTTGATTGGTCCAACAAGAAGTTCAAATTTAAAAAAAATTTTTTAAAAATATTATTGATTTTATTGAGAGAGGGAGAGGGAGAAAAGAGAGAAACACTGATATGACAAGTTAACATGGATTGGATGCCTCCTGCACACCCCCTAGTGGGGACCGAGCCCACAGCCCAGGCATTCTGATAGGGAATTGAATTGGTGACCTCTTGATGGATGGGATGACAGGTAACCAACTGAGCCACACCCACCAGGGCAAGAAGTTCAATTTTTAATATTCAGAAGTGTCTAGCAGATTGTCTAGATAGAACAGTGGTTCTCAACCTTGGCTGCACATTAGAATCACCTGGGGATCTTTTTAAAATCCTGATTTCGGGGCCTCGTCCTCCGGAAATTCTGTTTCTTTGTTACTATCGTTGTGGCCCTACTCCATAACAAAGAAACCGAATTTCCGGAGGATGAGGCCCAGAAATCAGGATTTTCAAAAGATTCCCAGGTGATTCTAATGGGCAGCCGAGGTTGAGAACCACTGGGCTAGAAGAAAATATCAGTACCTGAGTTGTTGGTTTGGGTAAACATTGTGGAGAATATTTGAGGCCTGGGCGTAGAGAACACCTGACTCAGGAAGAGCTGTCTTTCATTTCCCTCATGGTGAGAAGTCGTAACTTCATCTAAATATATCCACATTGCTTTCGGCGCCTGGTATCTGATTTAATTTGTACATTTTAATTTAGTTTATATTTCTAATAAACAACTTAGAAGCACAAAGTAATAGCACAGTCACACATTGATAAGATCATGTTTATTTAGTGCTATCTGACAAGTAGAGAAAGTAAAAAGAATATTTTAAAAATGTATAATTTATATTTATATAAATACTTTTTAAGGAGAAAAGTTGAACACATCTGGTGACATTAGGCAAATGTATGCATTTAAGTTTGCAGCCTATCTTGTAGCCTGACAACTTAGATGCAAGTATGTATGCACCCATATCTTGTTTGTGAGTTTGCATAAGTAGGGCCCAAGGATAAGGTATGGGCAGGTCTACAATAAATTCTAAACTCCCATAAAATGTGTGCTCCTGTGCCGTCCCACTTATGTCGGCTTTGTTCTTCTGTTTTAAAATTTCACTACAAGCACATCTGAATGTCATCCAAGGTTGTAATCAGGTGTTTTGGCCCTCAGTTTACTCATCAATGAGATGAGAGGATCTCTGCTGACAGGCTCTGCTTCTTCGGAATGAAAACACTATGGGCCCCAGAAGCCTGCAGCATATACAAATGTAGGGGGGCTGGTGAGGTCCAGTCATTGTCATCTCTGTATTAGGGGGAGTTTTCTGTTCAGCTTCTTTCTATTGGAAAGGAGTCAATTTGTCTGACATGGAGCAAGTTTATGATACCAGTCCATTTAACTAACTGTAACACTGTATTACTGTAGATACAGCTCGTTTCCTAGTTTACAACTAAACACAAAACTAATAGACTCTGGATTTCAAGTTGAAGAGCTCTATGTTTCCCGGATCTTAACTTGGAAGTTCAGAGCTGAGCTACACAAAAATAGCTCAGCGGAGACCCCTCAAGTCAAACCTCAATATATGGTGAAATAATTGTATGATGACATGGTCAGTCTGATGCTGGACTTGCCTGGGTCATTCCTGACAGGGACATTTTCTTGAACTTGCACTAATATATAACAAAAGAAGATGAGTGTGATGTGATGCAGTCTACACAGTCAAACCTATATCTGATTTCTTAAATTTATAGACGTTTTCATTCGCAGTAAACACCACAGAACAGTAAGTCATCTCTAAGCACTATCCTGAGTTTTCCTTGATTCCAAGTTTACAGTTAATCATATTTTCCATTAAAAAAAATAAAAAGACAGCTAGAACTGACCTCATATGACCACAGAAAATACATAGGACTCAGGGGCAAAATCATAATTCTCGAGATTTTTCTTATATTCTTTTGAAGATGGGTCACGCAATAGCTATGGTTGCCTCTGTAGGTGGGCTTCTCCAGGGACCCAGGTTACATTTTCCCTCTGCTGGTGCTCGGCTTTAACTCTTGGAGGAAAGGCTCGTTGTTGTGAGGACAGTTGTTGTGACAGGTGCAGGTCCCAATGACCATCACTGGCTTCTTGATGATGTGCCCCGGGGAGCACTGGAACTCCACCTGGATGGTTTTGGTGTTGTGAGGGGTGCAGCACCGGCCATCGCTGCAGACTCCACAGTACCTGGGCTTGTAGGTATGCAGGCTTGTGCAGTTCTTGAACTGCAGGTGGATGGCTTTGAGGGACTTCGTGGTGCGCAGACACTTTTTTCCTTTCTGAGAAAGAAGCAAGGGAGTGATGCAGAGATGGTGACTCTTCCTCCCAGGACCATTTTAGGGGTATGGATTAACTTGCTAGTTGCCTGCCCAATATCCATTGCTCTTTAATTTTTGCTAACAGGACATTAATTTTGTGTGGGCAACGTGGTCAGCTAAAAGTGCTTTCCCAGAATATCTGGGAGCTTAGGACGGCCTTGTGACAAAGTTCTGGCCAATGACACACAAGCCACGGGATTCTGGGAAATTCTTTGCCCTTCAGACAGAAACCGTTCTTTATTGCTTCCTGAGTTCATTTTCCTTCCTACCTAGAATGTGGAAACTGTGCCCCATTGTGCACAGTCGTCTTTTGATCTTGGTGGTAAACGAAGAGTAAAAGCATATGTATGATAAAGAAACCGATCTTATTAAGCCACTATAACAGGGTTTGGTGTTGCTTATAGCTAAATGCATTCTTAGGTGTTATAAAGCAAAAGAGAATAAATTTGGCATTATTGCAAGTCCACTAATGTTTCAAACATTTTGCAAACGTTAAGTCACATTAACCTTATCAACAACATTTATTCATACAAGGAATAGTTGTTAATGTAAAGAACAATTGCCCAAGTTTTAGAGATAAATAAATAAAATCTCAAGGAGCTAAAGTGATCAGAAAACATCCAGTAATTGAACTTGTCTGATGCAATGCCCACTTCTTCTACCATATGGCTATTTTCCATGAAGGCGAAATAAGTGGAGAATTAATTGAATATTCCATTAGTAATGGTTGATGAAGAATCCTGATATTGATACTTCAGCAAGGAATTGATAATATGTTTATTTCCTACTCAGATTTCTTCACTTACTAATTTGCCACAATTCTCTACTGCTCTTGACCTTCCTGGGCACAGCCCACAGATTGTGGGGTGATGAGACTTGGAATTTTATGAAATTAGTGGCTCTCAAACTTCTGTGTGCATTAAAGTCATCTGGAGGTTTTGCAAAACCACAGATTGTTGGGTCTTACACCCAGAGTTTCTGACTCAGTAGGTCTTATGGGGACCCCAATAATTTGCATTCTAATGAGTTCTTAGATGCTGCTGATGATATGCGGGCCACACTTTGAGAAGCACTATCTCCCACTTAAGAATCTCTCGATAAGGAAGTAACAATTATGATGCTAGTATTTTCCTAAATTCTAGGTACATTCCTACAATCTTTAAAAATATATTTACCATAAAATATTTTAAATATAATATCTCCCAATATTAAACTGGGTGCAAGAAAACATAAATTTTGGTTAAAGAAACAGTAAAAAGCATGATATGGAAAATATTATTAATAAAGAAGTTAGTGTGTCTGAAAATACTTAAGGTCTTCTTGTTTCTTTCTTTTTTATATTTAATATTTGGCATATATTCTTGACAACAACCACAAGAAAATACAAGGACAGCAATATCCCTTTGTGTATGTATATGTGTGTGTATGTGTGTGTGTGTGTGTGTGTGAGTGAGAGAGAGAGAGAGAGAGAGAGAGAGAGAGTAAGAGAAACAGAGAGATAGAAAAAGACTGCTTTGTGGGTGAACCTGCATGACTATGTTACATGTATGTTAGAATTCCCTTATGTGTAGGGAAGTGCATATAATTTTAGGGATAAGGAATCTCTAGGTGTTATTTCTAAATTGATGAAAGAAACAAAGTTAGGATGGACTTTAAAAAGTCATATAGCTCAGCAGCCATATAATAAATGCAACTACTAGAGACTCTTATTTTAGCAATAAATAGAAATTTTAAATTAATGATGCCTAATGTTAACAGAGTAATCTATGTCCAGAGCTTTGCTAATTCATCCTATTTAATCCTCATGATACCTTTGAAGTAAGTACTGTCAATGACCCTATTATATGGGGGAAGGAATGGAGGCTTAGAAGTTAAGAAAATTGCCTAAGAGCCCACGGCTAGTTGGTGTGAGAAGCCAGGATTTAAAGCCAGGCTAGCTGGCTCCAGAGATATGTAAATCTTTCATTGCTAGGGACTATTTTATTTTGGCCTTAGGTTTGTCCAAGGGTCCATATAATAGTTTAATTTGGGGGTATTGCATTTATCTAGGGTTCTGGTAACAAGGACTGTGAGGTCATCCGGAAGCAATCCAAGCTTCTGATCTGCATGCCTTGTACTCAGCGTTAACACACTGAGTTGATATAATACCAGCAAAAAAGGAAAGAAATGTTCTATTTTATTTGGCATATACAGCCTTATGCTGGCAAATGCACTAGTTCCACTAAGCATTTAAAATACTGAAAATAATTCCCAGACAGCCATTCATTTCTTCATCAACAGTGTTTTATCAAGCACACACGATGGACCAGGCAGAATGCTGGGAATGGAGTGGTGAATAAGGCAGCTATAATTCCTACTCTGGTGATTGAATTCAAGGGGTGAAATGCCCTCTCTAAAATCAGCTTCCCTTGGCAATTGAGAAGCCAGTCTTTTCCAGGAATGGAATGAGCTTTGCCATACCCTTCTCAATTGGGGACATTATGATAATTGTCCGGCCCCTCCTTTACCTGTGAGCCTGCTGTGAGCTGCCTGGGATATTTCAATACATTAAAGAGAAAAAATAAAAGAAGGTAAACTCACTCACTTCAGGAACCTCTCTGCCTTTTCCCTGGGGTTAACTCCCAGCTAGAGCTGACCTCTAGTCAACTAGTGTCGCAGTCATTTTTCTAAAGCCTGGACTCCAATGAGGCCAGGCCGCCGCCTACCTTATCTGTTGGTTGCCTGTGCTCCTGCTCACAGGGTCGCACCATACAGAGCCGAGTCCGCTTCACCATCTCGCACTGCGGATTCCTGTTGGTGACCTGGGTGGAGAAGCCCATGCCACAGCTCTTGGAACATGCGCTCCACTCTGTGGTCTGCTCAATGCAGTTGATACTTGAGTCAGAGACTGCAACTCCTAGAGTGGTTTCTGTCCTGTAGGCTATGAGAAATACAAAAAAAGAAAGAGAAAAAAGACAACCAGGTAGAGTAAAACGTGAAGATCACAAAGTGGTTCTGTCCATCATCATCGCATAGAAGGTCTCAGCCAATTCTGTGCCTCCTAAAACTCAGATGTTTTCAGGGACAGAATAGATTACTCTATTTATAAACCCCTAACAGGTTGCACAATTCCTGGCACATTGTAGGCATTTAGGAAATCTTTGTGGTATGACTGTTTAACCTGTCCTTAAGGCTCAGGGTCCTGGCCGGATGGCTCCGTTGGATGGAGCATCTTCCAGTACACCAAAAGTTTGCAGGTTCGATTCTGGTGAGGGTACATACCAGGGTTGTGGGTGTGATCCCTGGTCAGGGTGTGTACAGCAGGCAACCGATCCATGTTTCGCTCTCACCCCTCTCTCTCCCTTCTTCTCTCTCTAAAATCAATAAAAAATATATCCTTAGGTGAGGATTAAAAAAAAACACAAAGAAGCTTAGGAATTTTAAGAATATAGAACAGTTTAGCATCAATGACCATTCCATAAATTACAGTGTTTCAATATGTGATTTCTTACAGAAAAAGGATCATGCTAAAATTTTAATTGGATGAGTAAGTAGAACCAACCAACTCAAAATTGTGATGAAAGCAATACTTTGCCTTAGAGAGGTGGACCTGGTGATTTGGGTTATGGGATATAGACACTTGGACTTTGATTATGAAAAGTTCTGTCTCAACACTTCATATCATGACTTGGGGCACATCTTCTCTTCGACATCGCAGTGTTCCTATCTGCAAGGCATGGCTAATAATGTCTGCATACCACCAGTAGATGTAATCTGGCTGATGAATGGCTTCTAAAATATTCTTTACTGGCTCCTGAGTTTCTCTCCCTACCCGAAACTAGTTCCTTTATAAGGCGAAACCAAAAACAAAGCAAAACCAAGATCCTGAAGTGTCACTTGACCTTTCCTGTAGCATCTGGAAAGGTGGCATTTCTCTGTGACACCTGTCCAGTGATGAGTAGCATTCTTTAGGGAGGCTGGTTTTGAGAACGCACAGCTAGTGTGCAGAATCCACAAAAGGGAGTGATTTTTTTTTTTTTACTTGTATCATTGTAATGTGACTAAAGGTCAAGTAGATGGACTAAAATATACAGAGTAGTCATGCAATAAGACCAAATCAGTCCCACTGCTGGAAAGAACCACTGAACTGAGCAGGTTCTCTTTAGGAGAAACTGCATACTTCACTCTCTGCTAGGACTCCAAGCCCTGGTGTATTGGTCTCAGTGGGCAATCTGGAATCCACAGCTGAATGGAGGCCAGTTTCTCATTGCGAATCCTCAAGGACACTCATGCTTCTGCCCGCCTGTATCCTGTGCTGTGATCACCTTCAGGGAGTCCGAGTTTCTCACCTGGAAGGGCGTGCAGGTCCCCTAACGCCTCCGTGTCATTTGCGTCACAGATCCACTTTTCACAGCACTCCCCGGGCACTTCAACTTTTCTTGGAACCGGGCAGTCAGGTTGGGGTAGTAGCAGGTCCTCGTCACAGCGAGGCACGCAGCCAATCTGCCCATCTTGGCAGGTGCACTGGTATTTGCAGCTGGGCTGAAAGGTTTCTCCACTTTGGTAAATGACCCCATCGAACACACAGTTATCTCCCTCGATAGCTAGAATAGCGGGGAAGCAGGGCAGAGCAGGAAGGGGAGAGAGAAAAACAAAGTCACAATGTCTTGAGGACGCCATATAAGATTTGTGGCACGCGTTCAAAGCCCAAGTTGTTCATTGTCTGTTTGAGAGCCTGTTTTTTCTTTTAATCCATCTCCAGAGAATAGATATCCTCTTCCCTGAGCAAGAAAGAGGCTTCAAGGCCTTCCAGCCCTGCCACTCATTTTATGGATGAAGAAAGAGGTGTACAGCTGAGAAATGACCCTCCCAAGGTCCCGTAGCCATGTTCCCAATGCTAAAGTTACTTTGCAAGAACCTCCTCAGATTCTCCTCATCCAGCAGCTTAGAATTAAAAAGAGAAGGAAGGAAGGAAGGAAGGAAGGAAGGAAGGAAGGAAGGAAGGAAGAAAGAAAGAAAGAAAGAAAGAAAGAAAGAAAGAAAGAAAGAAAGAAAGAAGCACTCATGTTCTCCAAATAGGTTAACTGGTCACATTGGGCAGAGAGTTAGAATTCCTTGGCATTCCAGCACAAAAAATCATTATGAGCTCGGGGGCTATTCCAAGCCTCTAATTCAGAGAGGCGGGGCCAGCCTCCAACTACTTGGTGCACCACGTGGAAAACTGATGCCCAATTAATTAAGTTTCACCAGCCTGCACCGCTGGCCACCTGCCTTTTGTCATTCACAGCCCAGGAGAGGGGTTACATAGCCGTCCCAGGAGACTTGGGGGGTGGGGGTGGGCGTTGGCTCAAAGAGGACAATTACAGGTTTGAAAACGAACCTGCTGGACTGCAGTGGGGGAGCTGGGAGCCAGTGAGTGAGCCCTAGCGTCCATCACCCCCAAGCGTCCCCCTGGACATATCCAAAGAAAACGACTTCGCTGGCCCCTAACTCTGCTCTGCTCCCCATCCATTTCGATTCTTCTCTAGGGAGGAAATGACTGAATGCTTCTCACCTCTGGCTTCGGGAGCTCCCCCAACCCCAGTCGCCCCCCAGCCCATGCCTGGTGCACAGTAAGTGCTCCATAAACATCACCCACAGCATCCTCATTACTGTGATCATTTGCGCATCACTTTCTGGGAAGGGGGAGGGATAGGAAAGAGGGGGCAGCCCCAGCTAGCCTCAGAGAGAGGTTCGAGGCGGAGGGGGCAGGGTTACCCATGCAGATTCCAGTCTGGGCGCTGGGGTCCGCTCTGCGGTCACAGAAGAGGCCGCGGCTCTCTTCGCATGGCTCCAGCTCCGAGCAGCTGTCGCCGCGCTGGCGGGCACACACCAGACAGCACGAGCAGTCGTCCAGCACCGCTCTCACCCCGGGGGCGCAGGTGGGCGGCGTCTGGGGGCACCGGGCCGGGCACGGGTTTGGGCAGCGTGGAGTCGTAGCCACCTGGGGGGCGGCGAGAAAAGAAGGAGAAACCTCTCCGCAGGATCAGTAAGGCAGAGTGACCCAGCAGGGGCCGCGCAGGAAGGCAAAGTAACCGGGGACACCTAAAGGGCGCGCCACTCACCTGTCCCAAGAGATGGAGGAGCAGGAAAGCCAGGCAGAGGCACTGCGTGGGCAGACTGAGGCTCATGCTTTGCACACGCTGCATGCTCAGGCTTTTCCCGCCCGCGTTTGCAAAACGAGGCTTTCCACGCTGTGGATTGGCTCTGCTCACTTCCCTCCAGGTCCGGAGGTCGCCTTCCTTCCCCAGCGCCACCAGCGCAGGTTTTATAGTGCGCTCCCCCGACGCGCACAAGCCGGTTGGCTGCAGCGCAGGGAGGAGGGGGGATCGGCTGGGTGGGGAATGGAATGAACCCCGGGGTTGCCATGGCAATTGGCCTTGGGTGCTGCTCTCCTTAGGGCGCGGCACCAGGGCCTGCAAGTGCCTGTGTGTGGCGACCGGCCTGTCCCAGAGCGCCGGGAGGGGCTTGGGTGGAGTCCCCAGGCTGGGACCCAGGCAGGGCTCGCTCAGCGAGCGCGTGGGAAGGAAACGCCCTTTTCCTCCTGGAAGCTGCTTTGCCTTCCCCCAGGACTAAGCCACCGCCACTCCCCAGCCCACATCTCTGCCCTGGCGGCCCAGGCTGGGCTGCAAACGTGGGGCTCTCCTAAAGGGGTGCCTGAAGTTTGGGGCCATCTGTGGGGGCTTGGCCAGAGGCCCAGGGATTTAGTCATAAGGGAAGCATGAGCAAGCCTGTCACCGTTTAGGGCACTCTCTGAATGTGCTGTGGGAGAGGGGGAGGGAGAAAGGGAAGAAAAGAGAAAGAGAAGAAAGACAAAAAGGGGGAAACCCCAGAAAAAGAAAATAAAGTAAGTCAGCAATGATTGGATAGGGGATGCTATTGGCCAAATAGCAAAGTTCATTTGACTACTCATTCCAAGCCCCACTGATTCCCAAACCTTCAATTCCGCAGTTTTTATAGGAATAGAAGCAAGACATAATAAAATAAAACATAAGAGCTTGAGATAAATACAAGCATTCTGCCTGGTAGATAAAAACCTTGATACACCTGTTGGATCACGGCTGATGCCCAACAGCCCATCTCAAAATGCGAGAGGCTTTGAGAGTGCATAGGCAGGTTCAGCTCAGCCACTGTCAACCCCAACAGTCAAGGAAGGAATGTGGAAGGTGTTTGCTTTATTTAGGGAACCAAATCTCTCTTCCACCTGGCATCCACTTTCAGAATGTGGCTGCTCTGAACACTGGTCATCTCTCATGAGGACAGCACTTTAAAAAAAATATATACTTTGCCCTAGCTGGTTTGGCTCAGTGGATGGAGTGTCAGCCTGCGGACTGAAGGGTCCCGGGTTCAAGTCTGATCAAGGGCATATGCCGGGTTGCGGGCTGGATCCCCATTGGGGGGAGAAGGGGGGCCATGCAGGAGGCAGCAGCTAATCAATGATTCACTCTCATCATTGATGTTTCTATCTCTCTCCCTCTCCCTTCCTCTCTGAAATCAATAAAAATATTTTTTAAATAAATAAATAAATAAAATATACTTTTATTGATTTCAGAGAGGAAGGGAGAGGGAGAGGGAGAGGGAGGGAGGGAGGGAGAGAGAGAGAGAGAGAGAGAGAGAGAGAGAGAGAGAGAGAAAGAACATCAATGAAGAGAAAGAATCATTGATTGGCTGCCTCCTGCACACCCGCTCCTGGGAATCCAGCCCGAAATCCAGGTATGTGCCCTGACTGGAATCTACCATGACCTCCTAGTTCATAGATCAATGCTCAGCCACTGAGCCCCGCTGGCCAGGCAAGGAGAGAACTTTAACTGCTCCAAAGATGACATTACTTGTTGGATTTTTTTAAAAAAAATTGCTCCCCTGTATTTCAACTTTGCTGCTGCCACTGGGTTAGTTATGCCCAACTCTTTTGAGGATACCCGCATTGAAAAGACACCTTATAAGAAAAGTTACACAGACTGGTGATGTAATGCTAGACCTTGAAAAAAATTAAATTCCCTGGACTTCATCGGTCTCCAGTATGAAGTTCAATCAATGGCAGCTTGTGTAAGGGGCCAGGCTGCCCCTGAAACTCCTGCCACCTTGGCGATGAAGTCATTTCAAGCCCCTTCAGGAGAATTCTGTGAGCAGTTTGGAACTTCCATGACATACTTCCAAGCCGCCACACATCCTGCTTTCTGAGTAGTACTCAAAGCTTGTGGAGAGACCAAACAGTTAATTTGCGCCATGTCTAGGTTACTGATGTGCTCCTCAAGTTGATGGGTTGTCATGGGGCCTCTGGTCTAGTGATGCGTCCACCTGACTGCCCAACAGAATCCACCAGGTGTTGTTTTTAAAACTGTAGATTCCTAGGCCCCGCCCTTGACCCAATCAGTTGGATTCTCTGGTGAGGTCCTTTGGTAGGCAGCTTTTTAATTTACTTTGAAATTTAAGCTGGTTTTGGGAAACCTACATATGGAGCAACTAGAGGTGCAGCAGATGGGGAGGCAAGAATGTGGGCCAAATTTTCAAAGTATGACTATTCAGAACAAGGAGAACCTGGCGACATTGAAGTTGGTCTGACTCTTCTTGGAAAGGGGGAGCTGAGCCCGGCCAGTGTGGCTCAGTGGTCTAGCTTGACCTATGAACCATGAGGTCATGGTTCAATTCCCAGTCTGGGCACATGCCCTGGTTGCAGGCTTAATCCACAGTGTGGGGTGTGCAGGGGGCAGCCCATCAATGATTCTCTCTCATCATTGATGTTTCTATCTCTCTCTCTCTCCCTTCCTTTCTGAAATAAAAAAATATATATTAAAAAAATAAAAATACATTTTTTTTTTTTAAAAAAAAGAAAGGGGGAGGCTGAGAGGAGAAATGTAAGTTCAAGGTAAGGATGAAAATTTCAAGAAGTCATGCTAATGTGGGCTGCTACTCGGTCCTCTTGATTGCAAGTTATAGAAACCAAACTATTTTCAGCAAGAAGACTTGATTGGAAAAATGCTGTAGCATTTCACATAGTGACGAATAGGAATGGTGCTGCTAGGCCCCAGAGGCACTAGGGTCTGGGCCTCAGAGCTATCAGGACTTCACCTTTCTATCTATCTTCCGTGCTTCTCTGTGTGTTGACTTTGGTCTCTCTTCTTGGATAAGTCCTTCAATTCTCCCCGCCCTCTTACCCTATGACCTTATCACCACAGAAAGTATATCCTTCTCCCTAAGGCTTAATTTGGAAAGTTCCAGGAAAGGAGTTGGATGAGCACACCCTGGGCCAATTGAAGGAGGCAAGACAGGTGAGGAGTGGGGAGGAAGGATAGCTCCCCAGGAAAGAAGGAATTATTCTTTAAGAAGAAAACAAACTTGCAAAAACAGTACTGGAACACTCTTTTGTCAGCTAGAAATGCTCCTGGGTAAAGATTTCCTTGATAAAACAACTGGAAATTAGTGAAGCCACCTGAAGATGGTCTGTCAGGTCATGTTTGTGGCCTCCAGGATAGATTTTATCTTCTCTGGACATTTGTCACGCCCTTGCTTTTCTCCTACATCTCTTGACTCATTGAATAACGAGGCTGTGTCTGTCTCTGTATCTGTCTTCTTTTCCTGGAGGACAGGGAGCCTGTCATATTCTCCATAACACCCTCAGCATTGACTGCAGGGGTGGACAAATGGTCAGTTGTTCTTGGACCTTTTGAGATACTTCAAACCTCACTTTAAGTTTTGCCACTGCTCTGCATATGGCGAGGAAAGGAAAAACTGGAGGCTGTTGGTTCCTCAGCATCAGTAGAGGCTGAACTGGGCCTCTTAGCCATTAGCCATCTGCCTCTGACATGCACCTTCTCTGTCTTCCCTGGTACTGAGAGTCTAAAGGATAGCATGCGGGCTGGTGATTTCCTGTTTGAAATAGACCAGGCGTCACTTGAGGTCTCTGGGGGGTCAGGGGACACCCTATTAGAGACTTCATGAATTGCTGGCCTTGGCTACCAACTGGGTTATGAGGTGCAAGTACCTTGGTTGGTTCATGTTTTCCCTTTCCTCCCTTTCCTTCACCCCAGGTGTGGCACTCATTTCTCCCTCTCTGTCTCAGAGAGTTTGTTCATTGGCTTATATTCTTATGACTTCTCAGTCAACACATTGAGAGAAATTCTTACCTTTTCTAAAGGTAACATTTTATGAAGCTTTCCATTTGCTGTTTTTATCTTTTCCATTATATAAAAGGTTAAAAAAATATGTTGGCACTTCTGTAGCAGGCAAGAGGAATATAAAGCACAGAGCCCCGTATTAGAAACAAAACAAGTAAAAAGCAGCGACTGCGATATTATCACCTCCAGGACAACTCCATCCCTCTCCTCTCCTCTGTGAGCGCATTCTCTGTAAACTCACGCGTGGCTTCTTCAGTCATCGTTCAGCCAAGCCACCTGTTCGTAGCTCTCGCAATGTGCCCCGTAAATCAGCCTTGCAGCTCCTTAAGAATCCTGTGGCTCTTTTCTGAATTTCCTTCCTATGTCCGTTCTCTGGGGCCCCAGGGTGTTGGTAGAAGACAAGGTAATTTCCATTATATGTTGTACAAGCCAGCCCTACTTGGTGTCCAGTTATATGGCTAATTTCAATCACACCCTATTGTTTTTCTGACAGATCCCTTGATATCTTGCTTTTCCAAAAACAACAAAGGGTGGAGAAGAAATAGTCATGGGAGGTGAAATGTATAATTTTTAGTGTTACCGCCTTTGGAAATGTCTTCCTATTGCTCACCTTTTTAGAAGTTATTTTTAGTACATTTCTTAAAGAAAACAAAAAATCCAGGAGATTACATAAAAATAAATTCAAGCTAGAAATTAGCTAGACACGTGAGAAATAAATTAATTTACCCCCTGCTAAATGACTTTCTTATATGGAAATGGGCTCCTGGGGAGTCAAATCATTTCTTTAAAAGTATTTTGAACTGGATGGAGTCTAACAAGCTTATATACATGGGGAGGCAAAATAGATTTACAGTTGTTCATATGGAAAATAATGCAAAATTAATACATAACAATACAAGGATACACTCTGGGTTTCACTCACTCACAACTGTAAACCTACTTTTGCTCACCCCGGCATAGGCCCCATTCCCAGCCACTGGGCACCCGTACTGCCCATTTCAACACCCAGCTGAAGAAAATGGCCCTGATGAGTTTTTTTCTTTGCGGATTCTTTATGGCTCATAACAGCTGGGCTGAGTGAAACCAGTCCTGCTCCACTGACCAGGACTCATTAAACTAGGAATTAGTGTCAGAGACCAAGGCACATGCATAAGGACTGGACATAAAGTTAGCCGCTAGCTTCTCAGGAGTGCACCACCTTGGATGATGGTGGACCCGACTCATAAATGCTGGTGGCCACACAT